GAGACGCATTTTTATTCAAAATAGGCACTTAGTTAAAAAATATGTGTGTACCAGAGACAAACAACAGGAAGTGGGTGGAGATGGTCCTTTTTCCCGAAGTTCCTGTGGCCTGTGTGCTACCTTTTTGTTTTAAATTAAGCGCCAGATGCGAGGACCCGGTGTACACTGGCGGTCACATTAATTGGCCCCGAGGGTTTATTCTCAATGTTGTTCCGTAGTTTTGTAATAGTAGTTTGTTTGTATATCCGTGATTAGTTCGTATGTGTTAGCATTTTTAAGGTAAAAGACTAAAAGATATTGAAAACTACAAATAGGTATATAAAACATAAATAAAATTGAAGTATAAATGTTGTTACATTTTTATGTTGGAATTTCTTCCTGTGGACCTGTAGCAAGAAAAGTAATAATGATACAAGACACAGTGTGTAATACAAACAGAAAATGAACATAGAAAACAGACTTAAAACTAAACAGATGAAAAAATGCATTATAATGTTTGATATTGAGATCAATTAGTCAGTAAAAACATTAAAACTTGCTTATATTACAGATTTCAGTGATTTACTAGATACGTATGCGTCAGATGACTACTACTACCAAGTGTTAATAAGTTAATGAAGTAAAATCACTTTTTTCTATTTCTTGATACCAACTTGTGTGAAAATATACAAAAAAATAGTAGACAGCATCTCCTCAACAAAGAAGCGAATAAACGTTTCAATTTAAAATTCAATTTTGTTTTCTGTGGTGTGTACTTCAGTCGCACCCCAAATGTACGTTAGGAATTCTTTTTAGAAATCGTACCGAAAAATGTTTAGTAGTTGAAAAATTAGCATTTGTGTGGTCCCTTCGTCCCAGGACCGGGGAAGTTAGCGGGGCTCATTAATTTGTTGTTTTTCTTTTATTTCTCTCCCCATTTTAGGGTAATTTGGATGAAACCTACGTTTTGTATGGAATACTGACTTTTTGTTTAGAGTGTGCTAATTTAAACGTGCTGTGTTTACCGGGTTATTGCGACGAACATTTTAATTTGTTATCAAAAAATCTTTGTTTTCATATTCCCGCCTGCTTTACTAGCTACCTCGTTGGCCGAGTGGTCGCAAGTCCAGTCGAACTAGGAATCGCTAGGCAAGGGTTCTCGCGTTCGATTCCCTCCGGGTAGGGCAAAATATTACTGGGTTTTTTAAAAATCTTCAGTAGTAGCATGTAGTTTGGAATTGTGCCCGGTATATGGCATTAGACTCACCCCCTATTACGTGGGACTTATAACATGAATACTAAAAAGCAGGTGTTATTTTTTAATTGTACAGTGGCATTAAGTGCCGTAATGTGCACCTCTGCCTACCCCTCCGGGGATAAAGGGCATGATGTTATGTTTTCATATTAGATGCGTGATTTTGTACTTAATAGTGGCCGGAAGATTCTGCAGTAAATATTTATTAAAGCTTAGTTACGACAGTTGTAATTGAATGCTGGTTATGATCATTGGACCCTGAAGTGGCGTGGATTTAAACTAGTCCAACAAGCTCGTAGAACAGGTGCGTGAGTAAACCGATCTGACAACCTTAAAAAATATTGATGATTACTAAGATGTTTAATAACATTCAAAGATAATTTTAATGGAATAACAAAAATGTAAACCCATGGACATGGATTCATATTGATAATAAAACGTACGATTTCTGTAGAAGTATAAGTATATACATTTATGGACTGCCTCGTTGGCCGAGTGGTCGTAAGTGCGACTGCCGGGCAAGGGGTCTCAAGTTCGATTCCCGGGTCGGGCAAAGTATTACTGGGTTTTTAAATATTCTCAGTAATAGCACGGAGTCTGGAATTGTGCCCGGTATATGGCAATAGGCTCACCCCCTATTACATGGGACTCATAACATAAATAGTGAAAAGTGGGTGTTACATTGTACAGTGGTATAATGTGTACCTCTGCCTACCCCTTCGGGGATAAAAGGCGTGATGTTATAAGTATAAACAATCATTTAATATTTTAGCTAGCGTCCGTGTAGAATATGATTCCTGTTTCATCCCATGGGAGTATTTAATCGGGATGAAAAGTATCCTATCACCTAAGTCAGCCCATACCTTGCCTGTATACCAATTTCATCAATCCGTTCAGTAGTTTCAGCATGATTGACGGACAAACATCAAAACAAAGAAATTTCACATTTATAATATTAGCATGATATTATTGTAGTTGACGTCAGACACTATATATTATAGGAACTTTAATGTATTGTTCTTCGTTTCTGCTATAGTAAGTGTGTAGGTACGACGAAATTACTATCTCGTTCTATTTGTGTGTACTACAAATCGATAAGTCCGGTAGAACGATTCCAAACTAAGAGAAATAGATACGTTTGCGCGTACTATAATTGATTGTAGATGTCCCTGAATATAAAACGAAGCGATCCTAAGTACTCCGGACACGTGGGTGTCTCAAATAACTTCAATTCGTACAACTGATAGGTACATTTTTATTAATACTTTTTTGGAATAAAATATTGGATTTAGCTATAACTCAGTATATTCCCACCGGTGTGGGTAAGTACAAAGACATATTTTCATAAAGAAATAGAACTCAATTTATCTTCAACCCACGTATGACCGTGTCTCCCACACAGGTACTGTGACGAGACGCTTCACAAACAAACTCATTACTTCATACAATTTATTTCGTCTAATATCACTTTTATGTTGGCACTCAGACCAAATTATTTTCCTTCATTTGATAAAACGACCAAATCTTGGACCATACCGAGTTTTCATATTGCTTTCCTAAGCTCCTCCTACCCTGCAGGGCGTGGCGACACCACGCCCCTAGCTCCTCCCACGAGCAGTTTTTCCAGGAAACTTATGTAATATTTTCCCAGTGGGGTGGTGGGTGGACATTTGTCTTTACTAAGGACGAGCTCCCAGGATTATTAAATTTACCAAGCCAACATGGCCGACGATTTATATATCTACTTTATATAGCAAGCTATGTACTTTGATTTAGTGGTTTAGGTAGCACTTCTGCAGAATATATTTTCTCTGTAAAGAATGGCTTTCAGTGAGTTTTATTTGAAGAAGAAAAATTTTCGAGCTTTAAATAGCGCTGTATTTTTGGTACTTAAACCTGACGCAGACGTTAAGGGATACCTTTGTTAGTACCCACTAAATAGGTAAATACTCCTAAATAAGGTTCATTGTAATATGAGCCGAAAGAACACATTCAGAAAGTAGAAGAAAAAACTGAGACGTTTTTAACAAATTGATAATTTTTCACAAGTTACAAAGTAACCTAAGATTTCTCGAAACTCAAAAAATCTAACAAATTTGCTAATCATGCTACCGTCATGGAACGTTCGAGAAAAATTTTGCGTTTGAAGGTAGATTGAAAAAAAAATACTAAGACTTAAGGTATTCCACTAATTGTAATTATAAGTCATCGTGAATAAAGCTGTACTTGCATTTTATGAATTAACTTTTAATTTTAACTTAAATTTTTTAAGCAGGTGAGGTTTCTGTTGTAATTCTAACATTGTGGTAAAATTTGTATGGGATTCGTAATCAATACATAGTATAAAACAAAGTCGCTTTCGCTGTATGTCCGTATGTATGCTTAGATCTTTAAAACTACGCAACGGATTTTGATGCGGTTTTTTTTAATAGATAGAGTGATTCTTAAGGAAGGTTTGTATGTATATACATATTGCACCCGTGCGAAGCCGGGGCAGGTCGCTAGTTTACAATATTACTGTAAGTGTAATATGCACTATAAAGATCTCAAATCTATTCATTCTCACATTTAATTCTACATATTATAACTTGAGACCTTCTTATCAACAACTATTCAACTCTTGTACCTTGGAAGACCGACAAACATTTTTCTACAATCAAACTACTAAATAAGCTCCAGAACAGATACAAAATTAAGTACATAATATTTGCACACCTACTTATCTTTATCTAAATAATACATACCTATATTGTCGTGCTGGCTCGCTTCTCCAAACGCAAGTACCAATGTGACTTTTTCCAAATTACATGTACTTTCTAAGGTTATTTAGACACCACTGACAGACGGTAAAGGAAAACCTGGAAACCTGTAAGTTTGCAATCACCAACGCGCGTTAAGCAAGCGTGGTGATTAATGGTCAAACCTTCTCCGCGTGAGATGGTTGATGGTCCTTTGGTCAGTCAGTGGTGGACACTTATAAGCTGTTGATGTGATGTGATGTGATTTGTATGACCCCATAAGTATTAAAGTATGTAATGATTAAGTTACTACTAACCGTACTTCGTCTGACCAGAAACAGACCCGAGCGTACGGCGCGTCGCGTTCCGCGCGCGCCTCAAAGAGCCACCAGACCACCACAGATGGGGCCCAATACGGCCGATGCCGATTCGGAGTCGCGGAGAACCTAACGGGTAACCGGGGCTCCGGCTCGACGTGCAGGAGAAGGAACGGGGTGGTTTTTAGTCAGTAAGAGTCTGACACTCCCTCCCGCCTCACCCAGGCGGGAGCAGTCATTCGATGATTTTCCCCCCTTAAAAAAAAAAAAAAACCGTACTTCGTCTGAAGTGCAAATATTTATGTAGGTAGGTAATGCTACTAAAAAATTTGCTAATCAGTATGTGTTAAAATAGTATTTATCTTTACCAATATTGTAACGCATAAATGTAGCTAATTCAGTTTAGAAAAATCCCTTGTGAAAGATTGCAATCCATTTTTCACCAATTATGTTATTAGGTATGTTATAAAAGACGAAACTATTGTCATTTAGCGGGCACAATTATTCCAAACTTCTACTTAGTCTATTTTGGTATTAACTAAAGACACTTCAAAATAAAAAATCTAATCAAAATTTTCCCAAATAGAAAATAGAACCCGAGATGACTAATAAACTTTAACCCTTAATAAAAAAAATCATGGTTCAGTCCAGATTATAAAATAAAATGTTCAGTTACATCGTTATGACAATACATAGACATGAATTAAGAGTATAAAAGAGCGCACGCGCATCTATTCGTTGCATTCGGGTGTGGCAGCGGGACGTAAGTTATTTCTTCATAACATATATCTTCTTTTTAAATTAATTCATTTTGATGTTACCATTTCTATTTGTATTTAATGTCGTGTCATTAAAGTTACGAATATTTTTATAGTATAGCTGTTATTTATTCGTTTATTGATGTATGAATTCAGAGCCGCCATTTTGTGATGTGTGATTCGAGCACGTGTTACGTATATTTAATTTTTCATAATTACTTGATGCGTTGTCTTTGTGTGCCTGAATTTCAATGCCTGAAAGTGTTCCTCATCTTATGTGATATTGCAGAAATAATAAATGAAGATTTAGAACCAGGAGGCTGCCCTTATGTCCCTTTTCACGTCTTACCACGTGGTGCGATTATGGATTATTGATTTTAATTCTACTTTATTTCTGTTGCAGTGAGCCAGGGTACCTGCAGAATCCGTATCCTGTAGCAGTATGGTAAGTTATTAAAACTTATTTCAGCTACTTATTTTAATTTTGCAATAAGTTAGTTATACAAGTTCATGGTCTGCACTGCCACGTTAATTAGCTTACGAAACCTAGGGTCTGCCCAGTTTCTCGCATCTAGCTGCTAAATCGAGCAATAAACTAAAGAACTAATAAATGTAGTGAGGTCAATTACAACCTTGTTGTTCTTAAATGAACCTATCGAGCATATCATTTCTATACTGAGCTGTCAGTTTACAGTATTCACTTTTTTCTTTTTACTTATGAGTTGATGTGTTTCAACAGGCAGGAGCCGGTGGCCGAGCAGCCGGTCCTGACAACGGCGGCAGGACACGACGCACCCGGTGCCGCGGTCGCCGGCGTCGCCTGACGCCGCCCGCCCGCACTGCTGGCCGACGCGGCTGCCGCAGCTCTGGATGAGCTCCGAGCAGATACAACGCGTATTTTTTTTAATTATTCTTTGTAAGTTTATTATCTAATTAGACAGCCATCTTGAATCGTTCATTTAAGGAATAATCGTTTGATGTTTGTTCATGAAATTTGTTGTTAATTTGTTCCAGAATAAGATGACTTCGTTTTATGGTGGTGGTTATACAAGATTAGTGATATAAGAACATCCGTTCCTGTGATGTATTTAGTTTGGCAAGTCACAAACTCAACACTTTTCCGTTTTTATTACATTTAAGATTACAATATCCTTTTATTACATTTAAGATTACATCATCATGTACATACAAATAAGTTTCAATTTCCTTTCAACGTCAGCAATGTCCTTTTAGTTGTAGGTAGACGAAACCAATGTAAGTTTTGTTATTAGAATATATTTTGAAGTGTTGTTTACAGTACCATTAGTTTATAAATATATAGTTAAAACATTCTTCTACTTGTCATCCGTATCACTAGACATGTTAATAAATGTTTGTTAACGGAACACTCTCTGACACGTTGTTACAGAATAAAATAAGTTGTGATGGTTATACTGTTGTTTCTTTCACCTCTATATAAACTTGCACAAGCGCATATCCTCAAAAAATACATTCCAATGTCAAAATAAAGTCTGTTTCTACATAGATAACCACCATTTTATAACCGTTAACACTTTTGCCTTAGAAACCTAAGTGTTCTGGCTTCATACATACAAGTACCCACCAAATGCTAAAACATACATACATAACAATACGCCTTTTATTCCCAAAGCGGTAGGCAGAGGTGCACATTATAACACTTAATGCCACCACTTAATGCTACTGTGCAGTGTATCACCCACTTTTCACTATTTATGTTATGAGTCTCATGTAATGGGGGTGAATCTATTGCCATACCGGGCACAATTCGAGACTCCGTGCTACTACTGATTATTTTTTAAAACGCCCAGTAATATTTGGTTCGACCCAGGTATCTAACCCAAGACCTCTTGCCTGGAAAATGCTGAAACTGTCATAGGAAAACCTGAATGTCTTGTATGTGTTCTGGTTTTTGCTACCTATATATAATTAAGTGCTTACCAAACGCTAAAACTGTATTTGAGAATCTGAAACATTACACCAACTGTCCTCTAAAACACTATTATTCTTTATACTTACGCATATTTCACTGTGTTAACTTAACAAAGTAACAAAAGTGAATGGTTACGCAACAGTCGCCATTACAAAGACTTTATAGCCTAAAACAACTTGGAACCTACTTTATTTTACAACATTATAAAGGGGGACAAGATGGCTTTAGCAAAAAGCTTCGAGTAACAGATGATGTTCATTTAAATATTTTCTAGAGATCGGGGGTGTTTCGAGTAGGTATCGAGGGCAGGACTACACTACGCGATTATAATTATTGTTAAAAATAAAAAACATAGACTACGTAAGTCAATTCAAGATCAAAAAATAAAAGAGGAAGTCACTCGGGCAGATTAATAGATAGAAATTAATTTGCGAAATTAAACTAGATTATTTTTAAGCTGTATTCTTGTGGTGCTACATCGTTCCTGAAGGTTGTGGCTGTCCGAATTTTAAATACATACGGATTTAAGCTAAGTAATTAACTAACTTACGTAATCATTTGTGTAAAACACGACCTTATTTTAACCACAATAAAGAGTATTGGCCACTTTACATTTAATTTTATCAAACAGCTGAAAAAGAAATTTCCTAAATTATTTCTTGTCAAAAGTCACCCGTGTGCTCCGTAGCAATGAGATGCAGGCCGGAGTCAATATCGCGGGATCAAAGCCGACCAGCGCCGGGCGCGCCACTTAGCGACGATATTACCGCCTCTCCAACAACACTGTTTGCGTGACACGACAATCGTTTCAATGTACTTAATCTACCTGATGTTAATGCTTTGCTTTCGTGGATAAATCAAAAGTACAGATTAATCCTTCTTTTCTAAGAAGATACCCCTTAGCCACAACATGTTCATTGCTGAACATAAACTTACCCCAAAGATTTCTAGATCACCCGATTGACTTGTGTTTCTTCGTGAGAGTGAGGTTACCGGAGGCCCAATTACCCTCCCCTTCCCCAATCTCCCCAATCCTGAATCCCCAACGATCCTCAAACTCCTAATCCCCAAAAGGCCGGTAACGCACTTGTAACGCCTCTGGTGTTCCAGGTGTCCATGGGCGACACCGATAGCTTACCATCAGGTGATCCGTCAGCTCGTTTATCGGCTTATGCAATAAAAAAAAACAGACATGCGTTCAGTTGCCTATGAGAATGAGAATTAGTGTTAATATACAACTTTTCTTTTGTTTTTTAAAAAAAAATTGCACTAGGGTTTCCTCCTGTGTCGTGGGTGCGTTTACAAACATATAATTTCATTTGCACATGGCACCCAGACCCGAAACAACAATTTGTGAATCACATAAAGAGTTACTCCGTGTGGGAATCGAACTGTAATCAAAACAAACAAAATCCAACAGTACCAAGAACCTTAATCACATCTTCAAACAAACGAGTATTCAAAACACCCAATATCAAAGCAGTAGCAAAAAAATATTGTTGAAACGAAACTAATTTCCAATTCCTTTGAGTTCCGCTTAAATATATCACCGAGTGACAACATATTAGCATGTATATGTCATTAGACAGGTACAAATGCCTTTACAAAGCTATTGACTTGCCTATAAATTGAAATGAGACTGTGAATTAAAATATAAATCAAAAGAGGATTTTTCCCGACACGTCGACGCGACGAAATTGGAAAAATCTACGGCGACACGGGTGGCGGGGAGTGTGCCCTTTGTTTTATACGATACGTTATTTTTTTATTTATTTATAAAGCTTAATAATCACAAAGAAGAACATGAGTAAGCTTAATATTGTAGGTATTGTCAGTCTGACTCTTGGGTAATGTAGATACCTAAGAGTAACTAGCACATGCAAAAGAGCATTCAATGTATTCAACTATTTAAAAGAGAATAATAAACGTATTGTATTTGGTAGGAAGCGAATTTAGTTAATGGAGCAAGATCGTCAATATCTTTGAATACACATATCTATATAACTAGTTCTAACACACGTTCTAAGTGTTAAATTGGTACCTACTCTTCTTCCTTTTATAATCGATTCTGCGAGTGACTTTGTACGCACAAAAAGGTGATTTCCAATATCACCTTTGTTTCACTGTTCCCGTGGGAATTTTCTTCCCTCAGTATTCTCTTAAAGTCCCAAAGGAATATACATGCGGAGTTTCAATATCTTAGATTCTATAGTTTCGGTTGTCAGTTATCGTCAGTCACTAACCTATTAGTTAGAAATTATTATATTAAGTACTTTTTCCATTTTCTTTGTATCACTGTAGTACCTATGTCGTATGACAATGGAAACATAGCCGCGGTAAGATAATAACAGTGTCCCCGTACATATTAAAGTGCGGAGCTCTTACAGACGTTCTGTAATACAAACTCATTTAAATATACATGATGAAATTGAAAAAATTACGCTGGGGAGTTTGTTCTGGAGAAATTGTGTGATAGACTAGCTTACAATGTACGGTGGGAAAATGAAATGTGTTTCTTTAACTAGAGGTACCTATCTACAGTCCTCTTGCGTCTGTTTCTTTTTATTATATTTTGACGTATGTTAAATTTATGGGTGGTTATATTTAAATTGCAAGTTGTTATTAAAGAAAGATGTGGTATTTAGACTCAATTGAAGAATGGTTGAGTTTATTTAAGTTAGTCACCGATTTTGTGGTTTAGAATACAACTAAGTATGATTATTGTAAGTGGTAACTACCATTTATACTTACTAACTAGCTGCTGCAGCAACTTTGTCTGCGTTTTTTTTAACCGCTTGAATGCACCGTTAAGAGACAATAGAAAATACATTGTCTCACGTGGATCCACGTTCAGACACACGACGGGTTAATAAATGTAGCCTATGTTACTCCTTAATAAATGAACTATTATACCTACCTGCCAATTAAAGTCCCGTCAAAATCGGTCCAGCTTTTTCAGGGATTTAGCCATTACGAATAGATAGACAGGCAGACAAAAATTGTAAAAAGCTTTATTTATAACCGACTTCAAAAAAAGGAGGAGGTTCTCATTTCGACCGTATACTTTTTATCATAATTGTATCATATGTATATTTATATGTATGTAGTAAAAGGCAATTATTTCAATATTACAAACAGACACTACAATTTCATTTTTCTGTATAGATAACACTAATTGATACAAAATGGTGACAATAGAGTGTTGCGTGGTGTTTAGTGTATGGACTATTAATTAAGGAAGTCAATTAAAAAAAGTATGTATCTTATTAGCTAGTTACCTAACGGTTGTGACATGATAAGGCAGACAATCAACATTGATGCAAAAAAACTAACAAAAGAGTTTGAGGATAAAAGAACCTAAAAATATTAACATACACTTGGTAGATAGTAATTTGTAGTCGTAATGCAAGTTCTGTTCTTCGAATAGGTACCTAATCTACTTTTTAGCATTTACACTCCAATATACGCAATACCTATTTCATAGTATTCATACAAACATAATAATAGTACCTAACGTATTACAGCATAGAACAGTGAACAACCATAACTCCAATACCAACAGAAACTATCAAAAACTCAAGAGAAAATAAATTGACTTTATCCAAGTGGAGCCATCTTAAATAAAAGACAGTAGCGATATTAAAGGCGGGTATACCTACCTGGCATGCTATAGCTCAGTCCATTACAACGAAGAGCTTTCTCAGTGAGGGCCATCAAAGAAAAATAATCCATCTGAAAACACTTGACACAGTTGGGACGCCCCGCCCATCCGCCCGCCCACTCCACACCACGCCCAGCCATCTTGGAACCTGGAACCTCCACTTTTTGCCGCAGAACTTGCTCTGTATATTTTAAGTAAAGTTATCTTAGTCCTGAATACTCCTGAATTAGTTTTCCGCTAACATTGGCTCTCTACGTGTACTTTATAAAAGTTGTTTACGTTCGCAACGTAGTTAAGGCTCGAGTTTATCTTGCTAGTTTGGTCCTGGTTAGCATATGCTTGGAGTAACTAATGGCTTGAAAATAAAGTTCACCAACAATGATAGAACAAAAAAATTGAATACTAGAACTAGTATGGTCTACTATTGCTCAAAATACAATCAAGATTAAACAGATGATAATTCTCTGTTAGCGGGGTTTGTCGAAATAAGGATACTAGTACTGATACTAGGTACTTACTTCAAGAAATTGGTAACCCAACACTGTCTTACCAAGTTAATTACCATAGAATGATAACTTCAAAAAGCTGATGATCATGAACCATACTTTAAGCAATAGTATATGACCTTGAAAACTTTATTTACCTATTTACACTACCTTCTGGCATATTAGGACTTGTATAGTTAAAAGTAATCACACCCATAGCTCTTTTGAAAAAGTCGAAAATCCACAAGATCTGTATAAACATTAGCCAAAAGTACTCGATACTTTGTAAAAACACTTCAGATATAATATATAATGTACCGAATGGACTATTTTA